AGCAGAGAGCCTGATGCGAGACTCGATCCTAGAACCCTGGGATCATGACCTGAGCTAAAGGCAGACGCTTAACCGACTGAGCCACCCAGGTGCCCCCCAAGGTGTTTCTTTAAACCAGGGTTGCAAAGTGGGTATTCCCGCATCCTGGGCTGCCACCTCCAGTCCTTCATTAATCTTTGAGACTCTCACTTTCTTAATGGGCAGAGATAGTGGGATAATTACCCAGCAACCAATGGTAAAAGTCATTTGGATTTACATCTCTTAGTATTACTTTCTTTAGGAGTTTATTTAATCCCTCCCCCCTCAATGTTTTAGAGAGTCTGCTAAGACCAAAAAGAGAGGGAGACAGTGATGATTTTGCATCTGATTAAGTGGTAAGATTTCTTTCCTTCTAGATTTTCAGGCTTGAGACTTTTGTACCTTCTAGTCTTCCCATAGACTTTGAGGTTTATTCATCTCTTTCCAGGAGAGATGTTTTGAAAGTTATTGTTTGTTACAGCTAAGTGTATTGAAAGAAAAAGGAGACGTCATTTCATACAACCTTGTTAATTTCTTAAGCAAAAATCCATCATTCCCCTCCACCCAACCTTTCTAAATTCCAAGATGCCATAATAGTGTCAGTTAAATATTTGATTAACATTTCTAATCACTGGCATATATGTTTTAGGTCACATTTATGACAAAACAGTAATATTTTTAAATTTGTTTCTATAGACTCTGTACAGTGCTTCTGGGTCCTTGGCACAATAAATTCTGGTGCATTTCACAGATCTAGTGAGAGATTATAGTGGCAGAAGTTGATGGATGTTCCTTGACTGTTGTGAGTAATTGCTTATCTCTGATGCCATACCCACTGTCCAGTTGTCTTTTGGTACATGACATCTTCCAGGGACCCATTCGATTATGTGATTTGCGGGTGGGCATTTACTGGTCAGAGTGAAACAAGGATTATGTGGTCATGAAAAAGCTACACTGTGTCATATTTGCCTAATGTTGATGTGTCTGAGGTGGAAGTGGGGGCCTGTATGTGAGGCAAAGCTCTGTATAAGGTCAGATCACTTTGTAGTCACGGAAATCATTGCTCAGCCGGTGGTTTCTGAGGTCAAAGGAAGAGAAACAATTTAAGGGTTTATGAATGGTTCATAGTGTTAAAAATGCTTTCTGGGGCACCTGGGTGGCTCAGTTGGTTAAGCGACTGCCTTCGGCTTGGGTCATGATCCTGGAGTCCCGGGATCAAGTCCCACATCGGGCTCCCTGCTTGGCAGGGAGTCTGCTTCTCCCTCTGGCCCTCTTCCCTCTCATGCTCTCTGTCTCTCATTCTCTCTCTCTCAAATAAATAAATAAAAATCTTTAAAAAAAAATGCTTTCTGAATGGGCTATGGGTTTTTTAATGGGTGTGGGGCACTTCCAAACCACGTAACAAAGAGGTAGCAAAATTCCTATATAGAATTGAGGTTTCTACCAGGGAGAGCAACAGATATTAATGGCATCCTTCCAGTTGCTCAATTTCTCAATTACTTGCAGTGATGAGGGAGGAGGCTAGTTTAAGCTAAATAAAAGGTTGAATTACAATATTTTCTTTTAAATGAAAGATGTATTCCTTATAGCCTGGCCTTGTAGATGTCCTTCTTTCATGAATGAAGAGGAGGATCTGTGTTGATACACCAACCTGGGACCCTTGGTGATGCATTTTATGAATTCTTTTAAATATTCCTCAAGAATTTCCACATATGTTCCCACTTGGCTTAACAAATTTTTCCTGTAGCCGGTACAGCCTTTCAACTGACCACCAGGAATTGGGTTTTCAAATTAGTACAGCCCAAATGTGTGGGTATTTTGGGGGGTTTAAAATCAAGGGCATTTAAACACAAAATGCATAAGAAGAATGCCAAGATTAATCCTTAAAATCCCATTAGTCGTCTTTTGAAGAAGCTGTCTTCTGTAGTATACAGTGGATGAAAATGAACTTGCCGCCTGTTCAGTGGCCCTGAAAATAAATTCACAACACTGAGGCCAACCCCAAACCCAGATAGTTAGCTAAATTATTCAGTGGTTAGAAATACTACAGGCCTATAAGTATCAGCTATACACATCTGGATCTTTTCTTTGTTATCTTCACTAGTTACTTCCAGTGTAATTAATACCCATTTGAAGTTGAATTCCTGACATAATCCGCATCACATCACTAGGACTGTGAAGCGGCTTCACCCCATGCCGTTAAGGTGAGGCTGAGTCCCATGAGCATGAGGAATTATCAGTAGATGTGGGTGAACCTCCAAAAATGAGCAGTTATGACCATATGGCACACTTCTCATTTCTTTTGCAACAGGGCTACATAAAAGGAAAGTGGAGGGGTATCTTAATGACCTCAGTTGCCATTTATGTATATAATGAAATATACATGTTGTAATCTGATATATATTCATGTCTGCAAGTTACACTTAAAAGAAAACTAATGATGTCAACTTCTGCTGACATGAAACAGTGGGAGATTTTGTAAAGGAGTCCAGACCTTGCTCTGCACTCACTTTTTTCTTTGTAGAAATGCACAAGGCCTTTTCCTTCCATTTATTGTGTCTTAGGATCCATCTTGCTTGTGAGAGAAAAAGGAAGTCAATGGGGCAGACCTTTTTTTCTCCCCTGCAGACCAAAAGACAGGTTTGATTTTTTTTCCTTCTTCACATATTTTCTTTAAATATATATATTTTTAAATCCAAACTTGTGGCTGGTTACGGTTTTGCTCTTATAAAGACCACCCAGTTCTTTCCTCCTTTTCATCCTGTTCGTTCCTTCATGTTCTGTAGTGTCACTGTGGTATCAATCCCAGCTCCTAATTATTTGTCTCCCATTTAGCCACAAGGTGTAAATTTGCTAACTGAAAAGGCGTGCTCTGACAGCTAATCTCGTTGTATGTCCAAAGGCTGAGCTTGCTGCACTGGTTAACTTCCCTGGGGGATTGTTCTGTAAAATGTGGGGCCATTTGTTGAGCTGTCTGATGTAGAAGAAGAGAAAATGAAAGGACCTGCCAGAGAGAAGTGGGGTCATACAGTGCCTTCAGAGCAAAAAAAAAAAAGGGAAATCAAAGAACAATTTCAGGTCCACTTCAGTCTCCAAGCACATTCCTGGGAACTAGGGAATCAGCGATATTGTCTTATTCATGTTTTTGGGGAAGTGTCTGAGAGAAAGCCCCAAATCAGGGGAATGGCGAATTTAGAATGCCCAAGGGCTGTGCTTAGAGATTACCACCAGTGCAGGGGCGCCTGGGTGGCTCAGTCGGTTAAGCATCTGACTCTTGATTTCTGCTCAGGTCACGATCTCAAGGTTGTGAGATCCAGCCCCTTGTCAGGCTCTGCACTAGGCGTGGAGCCTGCTTGGGATTCTCTCCCTCTCTCTCCCTCTGACCCTCCCCCACCTCTCTCCCTCTCTAAAAAAAAAAAAAAAATTACAGCCAGTGCAGAACACTTCTGTCTGGGCCTGAGATTTACAAGCTCTTCAAGAGCCCATAAAGATGTTTGGAACCAGAAGAAAAAATATATGTTGATATTGACTCTAAAATCTAAAAAAGGTACTCACAAGATTATTATATGTTTAACTGAATGTCTACAAATATTTAATATCAACTTCATTAAGTATGAGATTTAGTCTTCTTAAAAGTTACAATATATGTGAAAACAAATTATGGATTCAGTTTCTCATGTTCCAAGATCTCAAGCATGCCAGTCATAATTAAATGAATTGCATGTAGCCAATAATTTGAAATAAAAATCATAAAAGGATTATAAGAATCCTTTCCATTTCTGTACACGGAAATGTATATTTTAGGTGGGATATGGGAGCAACTTAACATTCTTATATAAAGACGTGTGGTAGGACTAAAAAAGAGAGCCTGGGTTCATGAAGGTTCTAAAACAGCTCTGCACCGTGTACTCATCTCCATATGGGATTGATTGTTCCTGAAGACATTGATCACCAAAGACACGAATGAGGAGGACCAGAGGCAAGCCAGGAGCAGGGTTCCAGTTTGTTGTTGCTGTATGAACCCGTAGTGGAGGTGTAGTGACAAAAGCAGTGTGGTCTGAGCATGAGGAAAGTCACAAGGTACCTGCACATCATTGGAAAGATAATGGGATGGTGCCCTGGTTCTGCTGAAGGAGGATGCCTGTTAAGTTGACAAAGCAAAGCCAGCTGGGTGGGTCATGTTGGTAGAACTCCTGTGTCCCTTTTTCAGTGTTCTCTCCTAACAGATAACCAGGCCCTCAAGTGCCCTGGTGTTTTAGTCAACCTTTCTCTACTTGACAGATATTTCCATTTTTAGAATGGAAAACTTGAAGTGGTAGAGGCAGAAAAGGTGTGTTATCTGAATTCTGCATGGGATGATCTTAGTCTTCAATTCAGGGGTCCAAATTCTTCAGGATTTATTTTATTCACCATATATGGGGTGGTGAATGTGGACTCCCTCCAAAATACTTGGAAGATGATACTTCCTTGTAATCCCAGCCCCCAACAATAACCACTAATAATGGTTTGGTGTTGATTCTTGCAGCATTTTTTCTTTACATATACTAAAGCTTTGTTCATTTATTTTCCTCTATAAAATGACATGACAGATAAGATCTTAATTTTTGTCACTTGAACAGTATATCTTAGATATTTTTGCATGTCAGTACATGTGTACTTACCTCGTTTATTTTAATGACCCCATGGGATTCCACTGCATGGATGGGCCATAGTGGATTGAACTGCCCTCCATTGCTGGGCATTTGGGATGGCCATTCACCTTTTTGAGCATTCAGGAGAGTGTACCATGGGCCTAAATAAACCATTATATATTGGCTAGTAATCTATACCGTTGGCCCCCTGTGTTGGTTCCTCCCTGCCCAGAAGCAGAAAGAACTAAATCTTTCCTTATACTGATGCTTGTTATTAAATGTAAAACCGACATGGGACTTGTTGTTTATTTATTTCTTTGTCTTTTGTTTTTGCCTTTTTCTCTTCTGCAGTCATCTACAGCCAGGGACAAGGATGAGCAGGCTCTACCGGTAGGAAGAAGTGGCTCTGTCTTTACCTGTTCGTGTGCCTGTGGAGAGTGTGGGACGGGTGGGAGGAGGAGGGCTCATGTGCTCAACAAACCATCCTCCCCCTTGGGATACTTAAACGGCTCAATCTACCGGTATATATGTATACTCAGTCCTATAATTAGTGTCAACTGTATTCTGATATTCACTGATACTCAAATTATTTCTGGGACTAGATTTCAAAAAGTTTGCCTTCTCTCTTTCATTTGGCATAAACTTTGATGTGAGTTGAAAGAAGGAAATATTTCCAAACTGCATCCCATGGGATGTTGAGCTGATATTTGGGGACAGTGTGGGATCTAATGCTTGATATCTATTTTTTATGTATCTGCATGCCCTTAATTTCTGATTGGAAGTTTCTTTTGGTTTCATCAAAAGAAATGCTGCATGAGACTTATGTATTTAATATATACCTAATACCCAAAAGAATACCCAAAGAGATATAATTCTTTGCCAATGAAGATCTCCACAACAAAGTTCTTCCAGTTTCCTAGAATGAGCATAGTAACAGTGATTATGACAAATTATTAACAACAAACACATTTTCCAGTTCCTATCCAGTTAACATATCCCATTCTGTAATGTGCAAGATGGCAAGGAAATGACCTTCAGAGTTTTGTGTGTTCAGCCATCAAACAGTGATTACATTTCCACTCTAGTCAAGTCTCTTAACCTTGCCCCTAAAATATTTTGAAACTTAATCATCTGAATCAAATGCTACAATGCATTAAAAATGTTACAGATTTTTAAAACTGAAAAGACTAGTAATAAAGATACATATGACCCCATCCATCCTCCTGTAGTGCTCAAAGCAAAGACTCAGGACATTCACTGAGAGCCCATCAGATATGCCAGATCTGGTACTGGGCTAGGGATACAGACCCAATCTCTTGCTTTGAGGAACTCATGATCGGTTTCACAATATCCTCTGATTCTTCTTCTGTCAGAGTTAGGAGTATGATTTCAGATAGCATATCAATGGTAATAAGATCACACTAAGAAATTCAGATTTCTCCATGTATCTCATACTGGCATTTTGCCCATACTTTAAGTTACCATGGCTTTCACCTTTGTCCCCAGATGTGTGGACCACGATTGTTAATAAGTATTCTACAAAATAAGAGACCTCGGGGCACTGTCCAAGTTAACCAAGTTAACCAGATTTCTTTAGTGTTACACTCAGTGGTCTAATGTGTATCTTAAAATGCTAAAGGTGGGTTGGTCTAGGATGTGGCGCTTGCCAAATATATATGATTGTGAAGTCTCTTGGGGGACTCTTCTTGGGAAGCCCCCTTGTGGGTCTTGACTGTGATGGGATATATTGGAAAGCCCTATAATGTAGATAGTTGGAAGACTTCATGGAAAATCATATTTTATTTTTACCTGGCCCCAGAAAAATTTTATGTTGAGATTTTGGATCAAAATTTCAATAAGCAATTAATTCCTTCGCATTACCTTACCTTGCTCCCTCTTAAATCTGGCTGTCTGTAAAGCTTGGCTGCTTCTGAAGCCTCTTCCCCTGTGAGAACTAGCACAAAATCAACCAAAGTGGGAGGAAGCAGTTCCTAGTCAGGATAAAAATCCATCAAATCCTGAGGGTGTAGGGTGTCTTTTTTTAGCAAATTTATTTGCTTTTGAAGATCGCCATAAAAAGAGTTTGTTGGTAACTTATCTCTAGAAGTTCTTTCTTCCTCTCTTACCTGTGAGTTTCACCTCATTGCCAAAGGGTCACACCAGTAGTTTATGCAAAAGGAGCCCCCCTCCCCCCAGCATGGAAGTCAAGAGGTTTTTCAGTGGATTCTTAATAGGAGGTTCTTTATATCTCTCTTAATATAGACCATAGGGCTTCATGAATTAGAACTGTGGTCCCCAGGGTAGAGATGAGGTACCCCAGGAGATATGCAAGCTGTTCTTTTGGGGAGCAAGGAGAAAATATTAGTACCTCTATTATTTACTTTCTATATTATTCTTCATAATTTCTCCTTTCGCAAATGTTTTATCATAACTATGCTCATATTTTGGTATGTGTGGATATAGAGACAGAGATAGATACATATATGCATACTCAAAACTTGTATAGATAGGGTGCACAATCTAAATATTTTAGAGACCATCCACCAGTTCAGATAACAAACTTTGAGAGAAGCAAACTTGAGATCCATTTCTCTATCCTCCATTTTTCATCTCATTTCACTTCTCTGAGACAGTGTCCTTATCTGTCTAAAGGGAATGATGACCATGTCTAGTTCAGAGGGCTCATCGTGAGATTGAGATAAACTAGTGGGGGTGAAGCGTATAGTACATTGACTAGCATTTAGTAAGCTCCAAAAAAAAAAAAAAAATGGTGGCAATGAATTCATTTAGGATATGAGAAAGCCATTCCTTGGCAGGATTTGAAATGCACTTTAAACATTTTTCTTACAATAGCATATCGTCATGTGACAGAAATCAGTGACCACCAGACTAAGTGAGAGTGTATCTGCAATACACTTGCCCATGGTTTCCGAGAACTAACAGCGTTTTTGTCTGGTTTCTCTGCTCAGACTAAGCCACGTCTCCAGCGAGGTGGAAGTTCTGCTTCTCTCCACAACAGTCTCATGAGGAATAGCATCTTCCAGCTCATGATTCACACCCTTGACCCACTCGCTGAAGGTAAATATCAGGCTTTAGTTGGGGAGCTTGTGCGGGGGAGGGGGCGTAGAGGATGTTTACAACACTCCCATCACACAAGGCTTCCACTGTCCTCGTGGGAAGCATCTGCCAGAGGAAGCCCTGGCCCTTGGCATGCTTTATCTGCAGCAGTTCAGTTCACAGTTGGAGAGTGTTGTGCCAGGAGTAGGACCTGAGGTCTGTGTACTGATTCTGTCTTTTGATGCTTCCAGCATAAAGAGTTGGTGATGAGGCAGAGAAGGCAAAAAGGTTTCTCTCCCTCCCAGCTGGAGTGACAGCTCTCTTTCATCATCTCTCCTCAGTTCCAAAATGAGGTTGTAGATGGAGATTAATTGTGCATTTTTAAAAAAGAGAGAAGAGAACCCCATGACTTAGGGCTGTGAATAATTTGGGGAATGATGTTCACTGTAGAACATTGATATTGTCCTGATTCTTTGGCAGTTGGAGGGTGGTGGATGGGCTAAGCATCCAAGGAGACTTCTCGGAGGTAACTGCTTAGGATCAGTCTCAAAAGGCCTGGTTTACCTCCGAGGGTAATCCTGTGAACCATCACAAAGAATCCGGTATTATGTTCTTTAAGTTTTACTGATTCACAGATTCATCCTGTTTCTTAACTTGCATAACTATCCTAAAAATTTAATTTTCCAGTAGGTAGATATCTTATGTGTCAAATAAATATCAGAGTTAGGCTGCTAGCAAGCGGTGCAAATGTAAGCTAGTATATTCTCCCTTCATCTCTGGACCTTGTAATTGGGCCTCATGTTACATGGGGGCTAACAGGAATCATTAGAAGAGGGTGGCCTGGGGCACGTGGGATGAGACTGTCAAATCATGTCACATAAATCAGAGCTCTTACCCAATATAAACCTTTGCTGAATAATTTCAAGGGTACAGGTCATCAGGAGATTCAGATGAAGGAAAGAACATTTGGGGACCTCAAGAACGGCTCCCCAGGTCCTGTCTTCCCTCACTAAATACTCAGCTCTCACCCAGAATAATAGGTGAGGATCATGGGGTCACCTCTCACTACAGAACATTTTGATTATGAAATGTCTCCATTTTATACCCCAGAGAGTTCTAGAGCTGACATGATATTCTCCAAGGAGCCCCACCTCATAGATCGTGAGTCCTATTTACTAGAGGTAGTCTTTAGCCAGGGGCGTCCTGAATGTCATTACTCTCTTCACTCAGAGGCCCACTAGACGAGGGAATTACACGTGGTCACTAGCCTTCTTCTAATTCCCCTGGGTCCCCCCACCAACACCATCACCCCAAAGGAAGAGTGAAGGGATGGCAGACCAGCTTCCTCCCAGCCACTAAGGAGTTGTGTGACTTTGGGCAACTTGGAGTCTCTCTAGTACTTGGTTTCTTCATTTGTAGTAAGAGTTACCTTTGTCCAGTGCTTTACGGTTGACAAAGCATTTTCACACCTGTGAACTTACGCTCCATAATGACTCTGCATAGCCAACATTGTTATTCTAATCGCATAAAATATCATACCACCCAAGGAGATTGCAAACCGACCTCCTCTCTTGGCCAGCTGTTTCTTCTGAGCTATCCCCATCGCTTGCCTGGATTCCTGTGGGGCCTTCTTAACTGGTTTCTCACTGCCTCCTTGCCTCCTCCTCTGCATGTTTTTCACATGGCACCCCAAGTAGTCCTCTTCAAAAGTAAATCAGATTGTGTCACTCCTACTGATAAACTGCAGTGGCTTCCCATGGCTCTTGGAAAAACTGTGAACTACTTCTCATGGTGTATATGATCTGCCTCTTTTTCCAGACTCGGTTCGACTCACTTTGCTTAAGCCACAGAGGCCTTTCTGTCTTCAGACAGGTGCTTCTTTCCTGCCTCATGGTCTTTGCATGGGCTATGACCCCCACCCAGAATCCTTTTCGTTCTCCCGCCCTCTTCCACTTCCCCTGCCCATTCTTCAGCCGGCTGTCAACAGGACATTTCCCGGCCACCCAGTATAAATCAGGGCCCCATCCTCATCTCTCAGGGCCCCCTTTCATTTGTCCTTATTGCTCGCATTGTAATTTGTGTGATTATTTGTTTACTGCCTGTCTCCCTGAGGATGCAGTAAATTTCCAGAGAGCAGGAACTCTATTTTATTCACTAGTTTCCCCCAAACTCTAGCGGAGTACCTGGCACAGAGTAGCTGCTAAAACTCAAGAAAGATTAAGCAGTGTGGCCAATGTCAAGCTTTTGACCTGATATTCACAGAATTTCAAAGCCCTCTAAAGCCGCGTGGATTGTATCTTGGTTGTTTTGAGCCATCATCTTTTCCACCCCATCACCCTGAAGGGCCATGTGAGAAGAAAAGAACCATTTTATCCGCCCCAATGTGATTATGAGCAGGCAACTGAGTATGTTTACTTTTTTTTTTTTAAAGATTTTATTTATTTATTTGACAGAGAGAGAGAGAGACAGCAGAGCAGGAACACAAGCAGGGGAGAGGGTCAGAGGGAGAAGCAGGCTTCCCGCCGAGCAGGGAGCCCAATGTGGGACTCGATCCCAGGACCCTGGGATCATGACCTGAGCCGAAGGCAGACGCTTAATGACTGAGCCACCCAGGCGCCCCAGTATGTTTATTTTTTGCAAGGCAGTATTATGTAATAATTAAGAGGACAGATTCCAGAGCCAAACTCTCTGGGTCTAGATCTCAGCTCTGCGTTTACTAGCTGTGTGACCTTGGACAAGTTTCCTAACCTCTCTGTACCTCAGTTTCCTCATCTGTAAAATCAGGATGCCTACTTCATAAGGTTGTTGTAAGGATTAAAGGAGTAAATATACATAAAGCATTTGACACACTGCCTAGCAGATCATAAGTATCATATACAGGTTTGGAATTATTCTGTTTCATTATTTTGAAAAATAATGCATCATGTGATTTATTTTTAGATTTTATTTATTTTATTTATTTATTTATTTATTTGAGAGAGAGAGAGAGAGAGAGAGTGTGTGTGTGTGTGTGTGTGTGTGAGCCAGGAGAAGAGTAGAGGGAGAGGGACAAGCAGACTCTCCTCTGAGCACAGAGCCCAACACGGAGCTCCGTCTCACAACCCTGAGATCATGACCTGAGCCAAAATCAAGAGTCAGCCTTAACCAATTGAGCCACCCAGGTACCCCTGATTCTTTTTAATTTAAAATATTCAAAAGGCTATGATAAAAAAATAAGTCTCCCCCTGCCATCAACCTCCCAATTTTTTCAGCCCCCCAATTCTCCCTAGAGAAAACCACACAGCACCCAATTATCAGGGCTCATTCTAGAGATATTCCATGTATATACAACTGTGTGCATGCATGCATGCATGCATGTCCATGCCCACAAGTCCCCAAAATCTAAATTTCTCTGGTGTTTGTCTGGGAGAGTTGACTTTCTGGTAGGGCTTTTCATTCTTCCTGTTTTGTGGGAGAGGTTATGCTTTGTTTCCATGAGATAAGAAAAAGTGAATCTGGGTTTGTCTCGGAGTCGAGCCATCAGTGATTTTCCGAAACACCTGGCCCTTATGGGGCTGTGTGCAATTAAAGTGTTTGTTCCCACTGTAGCAAGATGTGCCTTCCGAATCCAGTGCCTGCTTTCAAGGTGAAACCTCTCCCTGAAAGACGGGCAGCGCTCTGGTGGTGTGAATCTGAGAGAATGCAGAGAGCCGTAATCAGTTCTGGACTTGAGTGAGTGATTAGAAAATATGGAAAGCACTTCAATGCTTTAAAATTGCTCCGTAGCACGCGGCCAAGAAAACAGATTGCTTGGGTATTTTTCCCCCAAAATTCACAATCATTTTCCATTCCAAGAACAGCCAAAAAATTAACCCACGGCTCTCAGAAATAGTCGTCTCTCTTTTAGTTTGCATCTAATCACTTGAATTCACACATCCTCGTGCCAAACTGTCACCTTTTAACAATATAGAGCGTGCTGGTTACATCACCAGTGGATGGCTTGCACGCTGCGGCAGCTTCCCCGTTACACTGAAGGGCGGCTCCCCGATGCTCCTGGCAGCCACCTCGGTAGGCAGTGGCCCCACGGGGCATAGAGTCAGTGTTTACAAAGGCAAATTTTCAGCTTCATCTGGAAACGTCATCTAGGACTGATGGTTTACAAAAAGACCTTTGTCCCTTGGTCTCATTTTCTTGAAACAAGGGCTTCTGTCTTCCACGATATAGTGACTGAGCCGTTGCCTTAACTGATGGTCGGTTTGGCCTCTGGGCCTGAGTCACAGATCCAGCTGTTACATATCTACTGTTGTGTATGTAACAAAGCACCCAAGGTGCAGGTGGCTTAAAAGCCCCACTATATTATTATTGCTCGTGATTTCCTGGATCAGGAATCTGGGCAGGGATCGGCGGGGTGATTCTTCCATTCCCGGTGGTATAGATGGAGGTCATTTGGTGTTATTCAGCTAGTAGATGAGCTGGTTAGAAGGTCCGAAAGGGCCTCACACTCACGTCTGGCACTTTTTTTTTTTTAAGATTTTATTTATTTATTTGAGAGAGACAGAGTGAGAGAGAGAGAGCATGAGCAGGGTGAGGGGCAGAAGGAGAGGGAGAAGCAGGCTCCCCGACGAGCAGGGAACCTGACATGGGGCTCAATCCCAGGACCCTGGGATCATGACCTGAGCTGAAGGCAGATGCTTAACCAACTGAGCCACCCAGGCGCCCCACATCTGGCACCTTTGAAGGCACAGCTGGAAGTCTGGGCTCAGCTGGACCCCCTCTGACTCTCCATGTTTTCTCAGGGCCTTTCCACATGGCTGGACGGAGTGGCTCAGGGTTCTGAGAACAAATCTTCCAAGAGGCTCAGGGATAAGCAGCAAGGATTCCAGTGACCTGGCCTGGGAAGTCCCCGAATGTCACTTCGGCATGCTACCAATCAAGCAGTCACAAAGCCCAGCCCAGACTCTAGAACAAGAGAAGGAAATTCCTCTCAATGGAAAGACACCAAAGAATTTGAAACAACCTTTAATCGAACCCAGTCTATTTCA